AATAAATCAATTATACTATACTGTTAGATCTTTGAAGCTTAACTGTTTACTATCTTTAACTAAAACTAAATCTAATAATTCTTCGAGTGCAACAAAATATATAAACATTTTTTTTGGAATCCATCACATCACCTATTAAACTTTTAAGAAACCTAACTAACCTAATAATGTAAACACATTATTTGTTATGCAATTTTAGAAAATAGTTTTGGAAATCCGTTGTAATATTGAACAATTTGTGCGCAAATCAGTATTTTTGTTTTACGGTGAGTAATATTGTTCCAAGATGCGTATATTTGTCGTTTCAACTAGATTTTTGTTGTAAATTAGAATGAAAAGTCATCAGATTTTGATGAATTTTAAATATATTTAGTACGACATGTTTAGGTAATCAAGTAGTTAATTTGTAGTACAGACATTTTTTTGATATGCAGTAGGTTAGGTTAGTAGTGGAAAAATTTGGATTGCTTAAATTTCTAAATAGAGGTGCAGTAATGTTTTCACTCAAACGCTATTTTTGGGTGAGACAAGAAACAAACTAAATATCACAGAAGACGTAAACTGCAGTACAAACGAGTGGCTCGCACTACATAATGGCGTGTTCGAAGGCCGCCGAGTGAACTGTTGAGCCCAGGACCTGGCTACGTCCTGACTCCTGACTCCTCGGACTGCGTGAACTAAGTGCTTGACACCCATTTAAACCTCGCGGTCGTGACATTGTTGCTCTGGTGAGACCGATAATATTTTTGTGTAAGTATGATATTCATAGATATTATTAAATTTCTTCATTGCGAACCTGTAGTAATTGGATAAATCAATTAAAATCAATAAATATTCTCCAATTTCGAACTTGGCTCTCATTTCACATGTGAATTTTTTTGGTCTGATTACGTATGCTATACACAAGTATACAGGGAGTATTGATTTAGTTCAGTCTTTTGTTAGTGTGTACGGCTCGTCCCAGTGGTCGCAGAGATATTACATTTGCGAAGAGGCTCGCTCCCTCCGGCACCGCGCGGCGCTTTGATCTCGCTGTCACCCGCACGTCTCCTGGCCGCAGCCGCCGCCGCCGCCGCCAGTAGTGACGTGACTAAGAGGACACGATGCTCTACTGGCTCGCGGCTGATTGAAGTGCACCCTGACCGCGGCCCAGCCATTACTACTGATATACGGCGCGACTGCCACACGTGATTAATATAATTTATAATGTTTATGTGGCCCCGATATAGATTATATTATTAAAGCGTAAATAACGAGCCGCGTCGGCAGGCGCCCGCATCGCGCGGCTCCCGGTCCACCGCCCGCCGCCCTCCGCCCGCCGCCGCTTCATCGGATTGTTAAATTAAATAGAGTTAACTGCCGCTAAAGGGTTGTGACACGTGCCCACCCCCCTCCCCCTCGCCGCGCCTGCGCGAGCGCACCCTCATCACCCAAATGCTACCGAATTTAATTTCGCTTTTAATTTTTTATAGCGAAATGTTTTCTATTTGTGGCTCACAATTGAAGTAAAACATTCCGGAGATGAAAGTTAGTGGCAAGTGACTATTGAGATGAGGCCAAGCATTCAACTCGGATACATACCATAGTACGGACATGTTGGACATCCTACGATGCAATTAAGTACTTAATATTTACATTCTTGTTACAAATCGTTTGGTATTTTGGCATTACAAGTAAAGAAAGGAAATACTCTCCCGGTCCAGCCGTCAAAAGAAATGAGGTTATAGATAGATAAATAAGCGAGTATGCGAGTATAGTTACAGAGTGGCGCACGGCGGCTGTGCATCATATATCACGCGGCGCTAAATGAGGCCCGTCACCGATATTGTCGCGCGACGGAATAATTTACAAATGACAGCCGCGCGCTCGCGCCGCTCATAAATCACGCGCCGTGTGCGCCCACCCTTAACCCTTTCACCCGCGGCAGCCCCCCTCCCGCGCCCCGCGCCGCTGCCCCGCGCACCCCTCGGCCCTGTGTCGTCGTTCGTAAACAAATCAGTTGGTTTTTTAGCGTCGCTTTATCTGATAGGCAAAGGGTGGCGGGCTGGCGCGGCGCGGGCCAATCCCGGCGCTCACACATTTACATAATGATTTACATACGACGCGCGACCTATGTGCTGCTCGGCTGCTGGCATACATGCACCATATCGTCTCGTGTGTGCTTGCTCAACTTACTCTAGTCTAGGTCGATACAATGTCGTCATACTGACTGGATGACTGATCAATTATATCAAGCTATAATAATCCATACAGACCATTATTATACCTGCGTAGCTTGTTGCCTGAACTGACTCGTATGTCGTCCTAGGCGAACAACATACACATATAATAACTGCACTTGCGTAAAAAGTCGATGATTATACGATAACTGTAACGAGTAACTTGCAAACTAAACGCAGTCTGATTCCCTCACGGCGAGCTGCAGCAACGTGTCGGCAACTTGTGGAGCAGCGGGACCTCTTTGGTAACGGCTGGCAAGCGGGGCGGGGCGGGGCGGGGGAGAGGGGGGGCGCAGGCTGCAGCTGCACTATTGATCACCGCCACAGTCCCCGGCACGCGCCACACACTCGCTCCAAGGCGCGCCGACACACAGCGGCCACATGGGCTCAGCACCGACAACACTCTGAATGAACGACACAGTCGTGGAATACAAGCACACGCTACAGGCTACTTACTTGGCGCCAGTGCTCAGCGCTCAGTGCGCCACGGAGCCCCACTGCTGCACCCCTTTCGATGTAACGAGCGTGAAACGGCGCACGTCGTTGTAAATGCAAATAAATGCTAATCCAAAATGGCGGCGACCTCCGACCTCTTCCGAGTGCAAGCTGCGCTCTGCCACTGAGCTAGTGATCGATGCAATATATCGTGATGTAGTACTGTTGTCCTCGCGCCGCGTGTGCCGCGCACTGGACGAGGCCGCCGTCGGGTACTGTACCATGACGTCTACGTCCAATACACTCGTCAGATATGTAGTGTCGCATTGATGTTGAGCCTATTGACATGTATTAACGACCACAGGTACAAATTCCGTGGTTAAAAATTTGCTAAATATTAATAAAGCCTAATAATACTTTACCTGACCCGGGAGTCGAAACCGAGACCTTTGCTCGGACGGCTGTCGCAATTGCGAGCACTACCGTGCCTCGGTCACATATACGTTGTATCTTATTGAAACAGTTCATTGCAGATATCACACATACACACATACACACATACACACATAGTGTGAAATATCGAAGTGAACAACATCTCGCCCGAGTGTCGGTGCCTCGGCAGAAGTTGAGTTCATGTGAGTGAGCAGTACTGCAACTAGTGGGTAGCAGCACAGCGCATCTCACAAAACAATTTATATAAATGAGATTAATAAAATAAAGATGTTATCGGATAGCTACAACGAGTGCATGTTGAGCACCCTCTCGAGCCCGACATAAAGGCCGGCCACTCGTCGCAGCGCCCTCCGTAGCCCTCGCGACCTCCCGCGACCCATGCCCTCGCAACCCTTACACTACCAATCTTTAATTGAATATCTCAAGGTATGAGGGTTGACACGTCATAAAACTGCACTAAATATAGAAATCACTGTTCATACAAATACTATAAAAATGGTAAAACACGAAGGGTCCGCCCCTACTACGCATAATGCTACGAGCCGGACAGCGGCTACGGGCCGCGTAGCACTGCTACGGGCTACGAGGCCAGCGTAGCCGGCACGTTATCCTGTAGTTGCAAATATTGAATACACTGCAAAGAAATTATATTGTTTTGAAACCCTGTTTATTATTTATTTCACATGATAAAGTAATTTTATACTCCTACGACAAGGATTGGTCGCAGGAAGATCTACAAAAGCAGGAGTGAAAGGAAGGCACCCACCAAACAAGCAAGAAGGCTAGTAATAAAAATAAATAAGAGGAATAATATAACTAAAAGCAAATCTCGTCTGTAGCCACACTGGCATTGTTCAAACTACTACTTAATGTGAAATAACACTCGACGAGCGGTTACCGTACAGAATAAACACATTTTATTCAGTTTAAAATATCAAGAGGTCTCCACAAAGGAAGCGAATTTCTTATTCAAAGTAGCAATATGTTGGCGCCTAAACAAACACCGAACACATTACGTAAATGCATTCTTTCGATAGAGATGCATGAGGTCTGGGAGCGGGCGGCGGTCGGCGGGCGGCGGGCGGCGGTCAGGGAGAATTAAACTTTCATCGGCCGGTGTTTGTCCACATTAGCATCACAAAGGGCCACCAGCGCCCGCCGCCGTCAGGTTCACATCAAACAGGAACTAGCCCTTTCATCTCCCTACAATCACTCTCCCGGACGTTGTGTACACACCTCTACTCGCGCTCGCGACCACTTCGTATTGTGGACTCCCAGCGTATCGGCTCATCTAGTTCGTTGCAATGTATAACTGTTTCATCGAGATTCGATAATAAGATCTATAAACGTTCTGAGACAAACAATGAGAACAATGATTAACAGAATGCTCGCTGGCTAGCTGTGAGGCAGCTCCTAGATGTGAGGCGGCTGATACGGAGACAGCGATCATTTGTTTAATAATAGAGCAGTAACGACCGCGGCACACGTTGCTCAACCCGGCTCCGGCCTCACTTTTTATTTCAATCGAACCCGATATCGGAATTCGCGCATCGGTTAGCCGACCCGTCTCCCCTTTCCTAAAAAAATTAAACAGCTTTTAAACACACATCGAGCTCGATCTGTTCGGCGAAAGCGAAAAAAAATCACCTCAGGTAATCGAAATAATGGCGAGATTCCGCGAAAAAAATTCACTAAAGGGCGGAAAAAGAAACGGATTCGTACAAAAAAGTTAAATTTTTTAATTCGACGGTTGAGGGTTGAGCGGGGTGCAGTCGGGTGCGGCGGGGCGCGGGGCGGGGCGCGCGCTCGGGCGGCGGGCGCGAGTGCCGGCGCCGCAGTGTATCGTGACGCGCCGAGTCGCGCGCCCGCTCCGCTCGTCCGCTCCGCAGCGCCATGGTGCTCTCCGCCTGCGTCCGCGCCGACACGCGCACCTACTGCTCCGCCCGCTACCGTGAGTCCACTCCTTCACTCTCTCGGCCGCGTATCACGTTACGTGGCGTGCTACTGCAGCATCACTACATATATCCACACTAATTTCTGAAAAGAAGAAAATGCATTTATTGAGAAATATATAAAAACATGTAATTAATTAAAGAAAACAATTTGATAAAAAAAATGGTTATTGCATGTTTCGTGTTTGACACTATGGAATATAATGTAATCGATACTAATACTAACCTACTCTTTATTAAATTTGTATATAATATTTCATACTAATGTAATGGTGAACAGTTTGTTTGTTTGAACGCGCTAATCTCGGGAACTACTGGCGCGATTTGAAAAAACATGTATGTGTTGGATATTCGATTTATCGAGGAAGGCTATAAAACATCACGCTGCGACCAATAGGAGCCGAGCGCAGCGGGAGTAGCTAATTGTAATTATACAGACGTACCATTGTATTCTGGGACCGTGCTTGAAACAAGTGACGACAAATACATTTATTTCTGCACTAGGCCACAAGGCAGCACGTTACACGTTAGCTTTTATAAAGAACTAGATGAAGCTGACATTTCGTAATCGACTACTCTGAGGAGAAATGCTGAAAGTAACTTCAAGGTCCATGTTTTTTAAAGTCCAGACAAAATATAAAGACCGACAGAAAAAAATATACGAAATTGAGTTAACTGAATAGATTTTATTTATAGACTAGCTAGGACAACACGAGAAATGGTGCACGATATAGTTCGCATACAAATGTTTAGCTTTCGACTGTGAAAATTGCCTCATACTAAAGTTAAATAGAGATAAAAAGTAGCCCATGTAGTAATGCAGCAACATTCTCCACATACAATAATAATGTTAAGACGATATCTTGACTACTAAAGAAATATTTGGAATCTCCGGATTTGTAACAAAAAACTTATTACACAGGGTTGAATACCAATACCAGGGTTGAAAACTTTGAGACCCACAGTATTCCATGTTTGTCTATGAGGTCTGGGAGTTGCCGACCTCCTTTATTTGCGCACAAATTTTGAATATAGTCGGGCTTCTTATTGTAAAAGCGTATACATTGACATCTAAATGAACCACTTATTTCCCGAAGCCTGGAGGCAGGCACTACTTATTGTTTTTGTTTTTACTTCTTGTGTTGATATTGCAAGTAAAAACAAACACGGCGTGCTTACACCCCACCACCACGCGGCAGTAATGAGTCACCGAATGCACCTTACAGTGTAGTGCATCGCACTGCAGCCGCTTACACACTTCCAATGACAACCTATTGCCACTTTGTAATAGGTATGTATGTAATGTACCTCTATATGTATGACTTACATAGGTAGGTCATTCAAAATTTAAAGCCATTTCCCTTCATTTGGGTAAAAATATTCGCGTTGCAGAGCAATAGCTTAACTCTAGTTGTGTTCTTGTACCTGGCACATGTTTCGGCAAATTTCTGTCAACAGATACTTTATTACACAACCAATTATGAGCTCGGCTCGTCGGCTCCTATATATCGTAACTAGCGTGATGTTTTATAGTCATCCTCGATAAACGGACTGTCAACACAATTATATTTTTCTAATCGGACCAGTAGTTCCTGCGATTAGCGCGATCAAATAAACAAACAACTCTTCAGCTTTATGTATTAAACTGTCAAACACCGAGCGGTCACCGGTGACCGCAACCTACTGTTCTTTAATTGTGTCTATAATGACGGTACTCAACGAGTTAAAACAATAACAAGTATAAACATTAGACAATCGAATACAAGGACCCTGCGCTCGGAGGCTGCGTCCTGCTCCGCGGCGCGGCGTCTATAAAAACTCTCGCTGACGTCTCAATGCGCGCACATTTTTTGTATCATAAGAAGCTCTTTATCGAGGATACATTTTTATAAATTCGCGTTCCTATATCTGAATAAATGAACATTTGTGTCGACACAAATCCTTTTTTTAGCATCGCCCTAAGCCATTGGTGCGGCGGCCGCAGGTAGCCCGCTGTTCCCACGCACTCGCTGATAGCTTTAACTTGTCACTTTACGTTTTTGCATGAAGTAGTATTTACTTTAGATCCCCAACTTGCATTAAGTACATGTAAACGTATACACGTGTGCAAGTGTCTCACAAGGTATCTCTTCTTTTCGCATAATGTTTTTTGTCCTAATATACATCGGCATAACGATTTTGGCATAATAATACTTGGGCATAAATTTGATTCGCACAGCGTTAGTAGGTAATGATTTTATTATCATAACGGTAGCCAAACCAACTTGCTATAGTTTCTGTAACAATTAAATCGTTCGATAAAAATGTAATATTATGCTGTTCAAAACGAGTTAGTGATAGAACCGGATTCCTACAAAACCGACTCTACGTAGTCTTGTTTGTCCTACCCCTAGAGTGTAATGGCAAATGATACATCTTATGCTTTAGAATTCAATTTTAGACGTTTCAAAAGTGCCTAATTAAGCATTGAAATAAATGCTTTGACTTTGAATAAATTGATGGTACAGAACAGGGCTGTCTTGGAGGGCCAGAAATACATTTTCAGTTGTATAATGACGTTTAATATTGTATTCTTTACTCACACAAAACTTGCATACGAATCGTTCACTGAATTTGATTGCTGTTGTTGCACATACGATGATGTTGAGATTAACATAATGTCGCGGGCAACATGGAAACAAGCCGCGGGCCTTTGTTTGGACAGCACTGCTATACAATATTATGCTTCATCATTGTTATGGTTAGAGAAATTATGCTTAAAAAATTATACGTAAGCTGTTATCCGTAGTTATATTACGCGAAGATATAATTATGCCAAACAAAATATGCTAAGCTATATTAGGTGACTTTTTTATGCAAATTGATATATATATTTATATATAGGGATACATATAGGGAACTAACCTGTATAGTGTTGCTACCCATCACGATCCTTACACTTTTCAGATGGTCGGTAGTTTTTACATAAAAATTACTTAACTTTTTTAAATTATTCTATTCTATATTAATTGTATGCGTTTGTTTGCGACATCAGCCAACATTACTTATTATCCTGAGCTCTATATTCCACATGTAGACCGCCTGCATCGACGGGTGGTGCAGACTATGTACATTCAATTGTATTGTTGTGCGGGACTATATACAGTGCTGGTACCTGGTACTGCATCTATGTGTAAATGAGTTGTTACCTAGCGCCGGCCGCACTGCTGGCCGACAGTACACCCGCTGCACCAGCAGCACTGACACGCGACCATGCCTACAATGGCAGTCGTTTACTCTCGTCTAATATAAAACAATGCCATAAACATTAAAGTGTACATTCACTTTGTTATTTATTATTTATGCACACACACATACAACATACAGGACAACACATACATAAAATTGAATGGTAATACTAATCTACTAATCGTAGAAAAAATATATAAGCATATATTTTGTTAAAAACATGTAAATAAGTCTTTCCGGAATTTTGGAAATACTAAGGGATGAAGAGGGAATAAGGGTGGCAAGTTTGTACTGGACTAGCATTATTTTGATGTGAGGAACACGAAACTTCGTATTTAGTCTAATGATCAATCGAGCGATGCCTCAGGCAACAACTAGTTACTTATATAACATGTGCAAATTATTCCGGTCTGTAGACTGTAGATATGCACTGTTCATATGAAATGGTAGGTTTATATTATACAATTACTATTTCGGATTTCTAGTAGTGCGTAGCACTTATTCATCGTAGCAGTGTGCTACAACAGATAGTTCGTAGCACGGGCGCGGCGGCGCGGCGTAGCACACTGCTACAAGAGCATGCGTAGCGTACTAGAGAACAAAAGTGTAGGTATAAAGCTTTGCAATCAAAGTTATGTTGATGTGTGTGAACGTAGTCAATGTTATGTAATGTTTATTTGTACACATATGTGTAAGTGTATGTCGTGGTGGCCCGGAAGTTTAAGATGACCCTTTCTCATGTCTGGGGCTGACTGAATAGAAACCTACCAATAACAAGTACAAATATGACTTTTAACAAAAGTAAGTAGTAGTTGTGTAAAAAAGGCCTTTGCTCAACAGTAGAGACTTGGTTGTCGATGTTGATAACGAAGGCATGTTCCGAGGAGCAAAACACAAGAGTCAGTATGTAGGTACAGGTGCCCGCAAAGAGTACTTGTCACAGCAGGAAGAACAGTGGCGCGGTGTCTAATCCGCTCATTAATCAGCATTACTTGTAATTTGATGATCCGGTGTGTCTGTGGCTTCGGCCGGAGCGCGCGGTCGGAGCGCGTGTCGCCGCGCGCTTATCCCGTTAATTGCATTAATTCGGCGGCCGCTGAGCTGCCGAGCGATCCAGTGGCCACCTCGATGTCGGCGCGACCTTACGTGTTCCTACAGGGGGTTAGCGGTGTTAGCCGCCGCTTTGCCGGTGATTATGTACTTAGCGCGCGACTGTTGCGTCACCGCCAGTGACGTCACGTGTACGCGTAGTACGTGTACTCACCAGTGTGCTTTGTTTGTTACAGAGGAGTCCGGCGAGCTCATCAAGTCGCCGTCGCCGCCGCCCAGCCACGGTCAGTAGACTCCACACTTTCCACCCACACCGTACTATGACATGACCTGACAGCGCACATGATTACTTACACACGAGTGCACCCAGGGTTGATCAAGATCGACCTTTACCACTCTGATAGTCAAAGTCAAAGCATTTATTTCAATTAATCCTTAATTAGGTACTTTTGATGTCAATAATTAAATTGGCCGTCCGTCTGTCTGTCAGCGAAGCTAGGCGCTCGTTCCAAAGTGTAGTTTCGAATGGAGAAGAACGAGCAAGTAACTCCATCGTTACTCTTTAAAAAATAAAATTCCAAATTCCAGTCTCTTTGACACTTTGTCTGATCCATTACATATTGATCGATGTAACGACAACACAACGTCAAAATTGATTGGAACTCCGGAATCAACTCCTGAAATAAAATAAAAGGCTATGAGCGATTGTTTCAAACATGGTGCCCACATATGTACCTACACTTACAATTTGAAATAATGATACTATAGAAATAATTAAAAAACCGACTTCAAAAAACCAAAAACTAATAACAAACAAAAAGTCAAAACCAAAAAGCAAAAAATAACTATTATTAGTACTGATAGGTTACCCACCTACTGATAGGTAAGAAGTCGGTGCCATAAGTTCCATACAAAATTATTCATTAAAACCTTAAGGTAAGTAAGGTACCTTATTCACAATTTTATGGACATTAAGTTATATCATTATGATATGAGCTTATGGCACCGACTTCTAACCTATCAGTGGGTGGGTAACCTATCAGTACTAATAATAGTTATTTTTTGCTATTTGGTTTTGACTTTTTGTTTGTTATTAGTTTTTGGTTTTTTGAAGTCGGTTTTTTAAACGCAGTTTTTATTTTATTATTTTATCATTTTCAGTGTATAGCTACATATACCCGTTTTGTTACTTATAACATAGGTGCAAAGTTCTAATCAATACAAATTATACAAGCCCAAACACAAGGTATTTACAGTATACCGTTGAGGAGTTCCCTTAACAATTACACTTCTTCATCATCAGACCCTCAATGACAGTCCCACTCTATCTAGGTGTAAAGTCCTCATCAATACAAATTAATCAAGCCCAAATACAAGGTAGTCAATATAAACAGCTGAAGAGTTCCCTCGACTGTCTATCGGCTCCATCATCAGGTCCACTCCAGACCTTTATCAAATTGTAGTGTTTAAAATTCGTAATTGAAAAACATAATAGACGCATTACTCTCCCATAGAATTTTCGAAAGTTCCCCTCGGTTTCTCTAGGATCCCATCATCAGATCCTGACTTCATGGAAATGGGACCATCTCGGGAGTATACCCTTTCAAACAAAAGAAAAATTTTTGAAATCGGCTCACAAACGGCGGAGTACTGCGCGAACAAACAAAAAAAAAGACAATCAGCCGAACATAGTACCTCCTCCTTTTTTTTGAAGTCGGTAAAAATACAAATGTTCGTTGCCATGAGATATCTGGATTACATTGGAATTACGACTAATTCTTAGAGTATGAGCAACTACTGAGTGTATTGAGTATTGTCTAGCGGAGCCGGCCCAACATGCTGCCAAGCTAGTACGATTTTTAACCGACTTCAAAAAAGGAGAAGGTTATACGTTCGGCCGGTATGTTGCTTTTTTTTTTGTTTGTATGTACTCTGAGATGCGTGAAGCGATTTCAAAAATTCTTGTTTTGTTTGAAAGGGTATACTCCCGAGATGGTCCCATTTCCATGAGGTCAGGATCTGATGATGGGATCCTAGGGAAACCCTATTATGTTTTTCGATTACGATTATTAAACACTACAATTTGATAAGGGTCTGGTGTCGACCTGATGATGGAGTCGACAGACAGTCGAGGGAACTCCTTAGCGGTTTATATTAACTACCTTGTGTTTGGGCTTGATTAATTTGTATTGATGAGGACTTTACACCTAAATAGAGTGGGCCTGTCATTAAGGGTCTGATGATGAAGAGGTGTAATTGTTAAGGGAACTCCTCAACGGTATACTGTAACTACCTTGTGTTTGGGCTTGTATAATGTGTATTGATTAGAACTTTGCACCTATGTATATTATAAGTAACAAAACGGGTATATGTAGCTTTACACTGAAAATGATAAAATAATAAAATAAAAACTGCGTTTAAAAAACCGACTTCAAAAAACCAAAAACTAATAACAAACAAAAAGTCAAAACTAAAAAGCAAAAAATAACTATTATTAGTACTGATAGGTTACCCACCCACTGATAGGTTAGAAGTCGGTGCCATAAGCTCATATCATAATGATATAACTTAATGTCCACAAAATTGTGAATAAGGTACTTACCTTAAGGTTTTAATGAATAATTTTGTATGAAACTTATAGCACCGACTTCTTACCTATCAGTGGGTGGGTAACCTATCAGTACTAATAATAGTTATTTTTTGCTTTTTAGTTTTGACTTTTTGTTCGTTATTAGTTTTTTTTACATAGTTCGCACTTTAAATAGGTTTTAACTGATTTTTCATTAAGATTCAATATAATTTTTGGTAATTTATCATAACATTTGACACATAATCCTATCAAGGCATCTCTGCAGCTTGGACATATTGCGGTATAGCCAACTTATATTTACCTCTCGTATTAAAATTATGTCGATCGCTTCTTTTCTCAAACAATTGTAGATTGTTTTTCGTCATGTCGTCATAACTTGCCTATATTAAAGTGTTAATGCATGCGCAGGCGCGCCTATACGATAATTGGCTAGTTTCCTTGGTTACAATAATTTATTTACGCGACGCGTCGTTGGTTCCTCCTTAGTCCATAACATGCCATCGTCGGAAGTAAATTGTTTCGATGTGTAATACACTGGAATAAAAAAAGGAATCACATTTTCAGTGTATTTTGTACAACATAAGAACACAATTTTTGTTTTTTTTTCTATAGAGACTTTTACGATAAAGTTTGACGTACAGATCGTACGACGTACACCCGTCCGTACCGTATCCCCGACGTACGTACAAAATCTATATCTATACTACATATATAAAACTATATGAGTGTAAATTTGTTTCGATAAAGTATTCCACCTGCCTCGTGGCAAACTTCCCTATTCTAATATCTTACCTATTGTTAAATATAATCAATTTCGATTGGTTAAGAGATGACTGAAGTCAATATAGGTATAAATAATGTGTCGACTTACCTCTACGGAATGCAATCTCGATCTCACGAGATCTCATCCATTTTTACCGAGATTAATCTCGTTCGAAATATGGAAAGATTAACGAGATTGTTTTACAATAGGATGTTTTTTCAAAATCATCGAATCTCTTCTCTGTCGAAATTGGCGAGATCCCACGAGATTGGTTTTTATAAAGCATTCTCCTGTGTATGACGTGTTAACCCTTAATTGATTACTGGTAAATATACATTGTAAACCAATTTCTCAACATTATGATGAGTAAACAGTCGTCGTTGGCTGACCTTAAATAAATAAAAAAACCTTGCGCTATGACTCGCGAGAAATTGGTTAAGTTAGCACTGGCGTGAACCATCGTGTACTCCCACCGAGTTATCAGGACGATGGAGGTCTATCTTCCTTGTCTCCCCCCCCCCCCCTCCACTTTCCACTGTCTATTGTCTACTAAAATAGGCAACTAAGTACAAATGCCGATCTTTATCCCCTCCACACAATCATTCATTTCCTCAGCCTGTCCAGGCGTCACGTGGGTGTAATATACATTCTGGTTTTTTTCTTTCGTAGTTAAATTAAATCATTATCTTGTAATTTGGCGCACCCTTTCAGAATGAATTGAATGGCGTATAAGCATTCCATATCCATGATAGATATAAAGAAGATGTGACGACTTGCTGAACGATACGAGCTGTCTAGTGAGTGGGAGTATAGCCACGTGGCAGTAATGCTCGGTGCCACCTGTGGGCCTCGTACTCTGCGCCGACCGCATAAAGTACACGCGCCGTAAAAAAAACACATCTTTATCCCTTTCAAAGGATCTGCGCACGCGCCGCTAAAGGGTGGCTCACCCCTTTTAAGTTAGAGAAGGTAACACAAGACAGTCCCCGAGAGTGTCGCACTGCTAGTGCTGTGCGCGTGTCTCGCAGAACTCACAGCAAACACAAAAGAAGGTGCATGCGCATTGTGTCGCTCGCGCTCCTAACGGGATCTATGTTACATTACCCAATATATGCTAGATGTACAATTCTTATAATTATATATTATATGATTCATATTTTAACTTCTTTTAGTTTAAAATGTAACTTCGAAACAATAACTCCACAATCTAATTAGAAATAGGTAGCAGAGATAGGCTGGTTCTCTGCTACCTATTTCTTCAGTTTATAAATTAGGAGCTCGAAAGAATTGAAGAATACGATCGTAGAGGCTGGGTTGTCGAGTAACGTATGACAGCGAGGCATGTGTTTACTTGTTGCGCAGACGGCTCCGCCAGCGGCGAGGGCGACATCAGCGGCGATGAGCGCCCCCCATCCCCGCCCCGCGCACCCTCCGCGCCACTGCCGCACCCCTCGCACCCCGCGCACCCTGCGCACGCGCCGCACGTCGCCAGCGCCGCTGCCGCCACCGCCGCCGTCTTCGTGAGTATCTGGCGTGCAGTGTGAGAGTATGGGTCCCAGTGTCCCACGCTCCCGCTGAGTGCAGTCTAACGTTGCCCGTTGCGTGTGCAGAATGCGGCGGGCGCCGGCAACGCGCTGGCGCAGCTCCAGCACCTGCTGCTCACTCAGCACGGCGCGCACTCGCTGCTGCTACACACGCAGGTCAGTACCACTCTCCCCCGCCCCCGCCCCCGCTCCCGAGCCGCGCCTCCTGCAGTGCTCACGCCCACGTTGCATGTTGCAGGTACAGCAAGCGGTGGCGCAGGCGGCCGCGCAACAGTTACAGCAGCTGCAGGCCCGCGCCGGCGCAGTCCCGCCACCCACTACGGGAACCTCGCCCACTTACAAGTACATGCAAGGTTCGTTCACTACTTATTATTATTATTGATCTTCAACTTTCGAAAAAAATAATGTTAAAATATCGTATGACTACCATATAAAACCGAAAATGATATTATTATATACTCCGCAGCACGAATTCAAACTTGTGTTACGTACTTACTATGTTCCAGGCCACAATTTATAATATATTGATTATTTGACTGAACTCGTAGTCTCAACTCGGCATCGGCACATCTCAACATTCTCAAGTGACCAAAAACTAGCGTTACTAAAGTTACCCGTACAGCGTACACAGTCCTATCTCCGGTACTGCATGCCTATCGTGACCAGACGTCCCGTCTGTCCCATTTTATAATTACGAGCCCCGCTGTCCCCGAAATGAACTTTTGGACGCAAAATTGTCCTGTTTTTGGAAAACACGCGAAAATTTTAATATTTGAGCCGACGCGATGGATGCTTGTACAGCTCGAGTGGTTTATAAATTGCTAAAAACTCAAATAATATAGTTGCATAAATCACTAATTTTTGACGAAGTAAAACAAAAAACGTTGCGTGAGTAAGAACCTCCATTTTGATACAGTTAGTAATGTAAACATTGTTGCTGTGGGCACAAAGTTGGTATACTGTAATAGGGTGTAGCTACCAGACGCCTTACTGAATCTAATCAAACTAAAGTCCCATTTTGAATCAAGAAATATTTGGTCACGTTATGCATGCCGTGGATGTGGCGCGATGTTACAGTTTTATTTTATTTATTTAAATACAATACAAATGCAACAGTTCTCCATCGCACTGCGTCTCTTTGCTCCCGTTATATATAGTTTTTATATCGTCCACGCGCTCAGTACCACACGCCGTTCAATATATTTCCATCCTGACCCTATGTTAATGTATGTACATTACTGTCACTAATGTAGATATTATGAGAGTTGCCCGCTGTCACTTGTGTATTAGGACAAGTTTTTGGTAACAATGAGCGTTTTGATGCAGACGGACGATCACCGTCACCACGGCGCACGCCGCCCGGCGCGGGCGCATTCCTCACGCCCCTCACGCCAGGCTCCGGCCGCGCGCGCTCCCCGCTACACGCGCACGCGCACACTCCGCTGCACGCGCACGCGCACAAACCGCGCGCGCTCGAGCCCACGGCTGATGACACTGCTGACCTCGAAGAGTTGGAACACTTCGCCAAGACCTTCAAGCAGAGACGTATCAAACTTGGTGAGCTTGGACCGGAATAGCTTCGACTCAGTATACGGCTTCCTACGAAACGGAATGTAATTGAAATTATTGATTGTTCCGCAGGGTTCACACAGGGCGACGTCGGCCTCGCGATGGGCAAGTTGTACGGGAACGATTTCTCGCAAACGACGATATCACGGTTCGAGGCGCTCAATCTGAGCTTCAAGAACATGTGCAAACTAAAACCGCTCCTGCAGAAATGGCTGGAGGACGCGGACTCGTCGCTGGCGGGCGGCGGCACGGGGACCGGCGCCGGGGCGGCACTGGGCGCCGGCCTGGCCGAGGCCGTGGGCCGGCGCCGCAAGAAGCGCACCTCCATCGAGTCGGGCGTGCGCGTCGCCCTGGAGAAAGCCTTCCTGCACAACCCCAAGCCCACGAGCGAGGAGATCGCTGCGCTAGCCGACGCGCTCTGCATGGAAAAGGAGGTGGTCCGTGTATGGTTCTGCAACCGACGCCAGAAGGAGAAGCGCATCAACCCGCCGGCGGGCGAGGGCGCTGGGGGCGCTGGGGGCGCGGTGGCGCTGGCGCCGCATGCGCACGCGCTGCACGCGGCGTCGGTGGCGCTGCAGCCGCTGGCGCTGCTGGCGCGCGCGCCGCCGCGCGACTGACGCGCCCCGCCGGCGGGCCCCGGGCCCCGTCTGACACATATCTCGTTGTAAATAGTGCGCGGGCGCGGCCGCGGTGTACAGACTAGTGTTAGCGTGTATATAGATGTACGTGCGGGCCGCTGCGCCCGTCCTAGGCTAAGTTTATATATTATTACGTGAATTTTATTTATGTGGGAGCGCGCCGCCGCTGTACAGAGCTCATATCAGTTAGCGCTCCACGCGATGACTATGTAAGGTGGATGTGTAGAAAACTATCTGTATGTTACAATAAAACATCATAGACTTTACCGGTGCTTTCATTTATATGTTTGTATCCCTAATCCCTATGTGTTGTGTCATATCTATCGCAATGTTAGTAGCCGAGCCGGCAAACTTCGTACCTCCTCAAACACTTTTTCTCGCCGTTTGAACCTTTCCTGGACTTCCACAATAATTCAAGACCACAATTAGCCAAGTCGGTACAGCTGCTTTTCGAGTTATAATGAGACTAACGAACACTAATTCATTTTTATATACAGAGTGATTGGTTAGTACAGTACAATCTCGTATGGGGTTGTAGAACAGATCCAACATTTTTGTCCAACAAAGGGATAGGCGGCAATGAACTGATATTATTAAAATATTTAACTTTTAGTGTTAATTTCAAAATGACGCCCGCGGTGGCTCTACAACTGAGACAACAAAACAGAAACGTTCTTGAACTAATGTTTTTTGTTTATTTATCTTAAAGTTTATTTACTAGTTCTAATCACCAAATACATTAAAAAAACATTTTAACTAGTATGAAATTCAAATTTGTCTCTAAACTATGCGTCTCTAAACTATGACACCTTGTTGTGCACGTTTTGCAAAAAACATCTGAATTTCCTAAGCTGTACATATACCAATATGTGAAATGAGGTGTACAACTCCAACATACCTGGACATTGGTCCAGTATGTAGTAGTATTGTTATATGTATTATTGTATGTATATGTATATATATTATATTATATATTCCCACTTCCGAGCATGAGCATACTTAGGTAAATGTTGCATAGCATTATAAGAAAAAAACATTAAATAAAAAATAAAAAATCTTTATTCATAAATATAAATAAACGTACATACATAACATCACGCCTTTTTATCCCCGAAGGGGTAGGCAGAGGTGCACATTACGGCACTACTTAATGCCACTGTACAATGTAACACCCACTTTTCACTATTTATGTTATAAGTCCCATGTAATAGGGGGTGAGCCTATATGTAAATAAACACAGATACAAAAATATTTCTTGGGAAAACAAAATAGATCTCACGTGGATAAGTGCCTGTATTCGAGTAGGTCTAACATAATTATAATTTTATATCTATATACGCTCTTCCATACATTAATAATTGACATAATTTTGAAAAAATAAAATATGACTATATAATATACATAAACACATACATAGCCTCGCGCCTTATACTCCTTATACCTTAGTTTGAAAATATCAACAATTAATATGTTTTAGTAATATCTTCTGTGGGTATCTTATATCATATTATTATATTTCTTAGTTTTGAAAGTTGTAATGAAGAGTTGATTATTTACTAATTCACTGCCAAATGATCACCAAAACTCACCTACAGCAGTACTACAGTATAATGACTGTAACACAGCCTAGGTACCCAGAACGTAAGATTTTGTAGTAAAAATTAAACACATTCATGCCAATTCCTCTATTGAATTTACCTTGTACTAATTACGAATGGCAAATATGTGCGAATTTTCGCGAATGAGAATGTGTATTCGTTACATTTACATCACATGTACATCAGATACATACCTACAGGTCAAACTGAGACAGACTTCTTTTCTTTTGAAGTCGGTTAAGAACTGAATACAAATAAACAAATATTTTTATTTTCTCCCGGTGACTACAGTAGTCACATTACTATTTTATTAACTGTGTGCTTCGTGTAGAATTAGGTGATATAACTGTACCGAGCGTTGAGAGGGCAGCGCCATCTATGTGTTGAAGTAACAGACATGATGTGGCGTCGGTTGAGTCAGCAACTACATCAGGTCTATTGTGATAGTAATACATGCATAAGTACATAGATGGCGCGGTTTTACTTTTCTACCTCGTACAACAGTTGCAGGTTCACGGAAATTTTTACCGACTTCAAAAAAAGGAAGAAGTACTATGTTTAGATGTTTATTTTCTTTACATATTTTATTCTTTTACATACTCTGCCAATTGTGAACCGATTTCCAAATTTTATTTTTGTCCGAAAAATTTTCACATTTTTACCAAGTCAGGATCTGGTGATATTGTGTTTGGGCTTGATTATGGTGATATTTATTTGTATTGATAACAACTCTTAGTATGTGGGTGTGTATTCTTATACCTATAAATTCCCTGGACTCCAGTTTAGCACATGTTTTCAATGAAAGTCCAAAAGAAAATAGGTACAATCTGGTGTTTATATTGTCTTCGAAAATACTCAACTTATTTAAAAGTACAAAAATATTACTGGTTAACCTCAAAGCTGGGAGTCTAACGTACTAAAGCTATAAGGACTCAGGCGCAGCTACGCATTTGAAACCTCATAAAAAATGTCAACATATAGGTACCTACCTAAGTGTCGCCAGCAACTTTACACCTAGTTGAAGCAAGACTATCATTAAGGGTCGGATGATAAAGAAGTATAATAAATTGTAAGGGAACTCCTCAACAAACGGTTTACAGTAGCTGATTGGTGTTTGGGCCTGATCCATTTGTATCGATTGTCATTTTGTGGGATATACTTTAGTATAACGGATCTGTGTAGGCTTTTATAATATTTAGAAAAAATATTGCATTTAAAAAAACAAAACCTAAAAGCAATCCAAAAGTAAGAACTGAAAAGTAAAAATGACTACACCGACAAGAAAAGAATATTATTATGTTTTAGTCAGATCTTCTGTGGGTGGGTATCTTAAATCATACTTTTCTTATTTTGATAAGTGTGATGAAACGTTGATTATTCACTTTACCAAATGTTTTGCAATATACCAACAATTGCAGTACCACCCTATTATTATGATTGTAGCCGTAGGACAGTTTAAACAGAAGATAAGGTAGGTATATATACCTATGAAATTGCCGTTCTGCAGTAGGTACTAGGCATTTCAAATCAATTTTTATTTGGCTAAGAATTCTAATTTCAAATAGGTAAGTTATTTAAAAATCAAGGGATTTTCCAATATAAGGCCCGGCGCCCGGCGCCCACTATCGGCAGCGGCAAGGAAAAGAATCCTTCGGCATCTTACACGCAAGCGCACACTGTCGGAAACTATGCTTTAGCATGCTGGAACGTTGTTAGGGATGACGAGGCGTAGCGTATCTCTCGTCATCACGGTGTCAGAGTTGTTACAAGCTAGTTGTCTGAGTTGTATTTAATATGGTGGACTGGGATCTAGTGCTCATAGCAGCTCTTGCTGAAGAAGAAGAGAAATCTAATCAATCAAGCCGGCGGCCGGATGATGCCGAACCATCCCGAAGTATCCCGCAGGATTCGCAAGGTTGCCGATACAGCAGCCTCAAGTATAACGAAGCGGTATTTTTGTTATTACGACCAAATGCACGCCAATTTCTACTTATGTTGTGTGTGTTGTATAGTCTCTTGATAGACTAAACACACTTTACTTGATTTATATAAAAGTCAATACTTAAGAATAATAATTAATGTTGTAAAATAATAAACTAACGTAAAATGGATTTAGTAAACTGTATGAGCGTGAGTCCTAACGTGAATTATGAGAACGAACGGCGGACTTGATTGCTCGATACGAACTGGAGTTTTACCTACTCTTGAATCCATTACCGATCGATCGACATTGGTATTGTCAAATTTCGTAGGTACTCTCGAGTTGCAACACTAGCGCCCATTGCATCCGTATTGCGTGGATATTTTTTTTTTAAATGAAACGTTGCCCCACACTAGGATTATCTCCTGTGTCGTGGGTGCGTTTACAAACATACAAGTTCACATACACATGACACCCAGACCCGAAACAACAATTTGTGGATCACACAAAGTGTTGTTCCGTGCGGGAATCGAACCCGCGACACGTTGTACGGCAGCCGGCTACCCAGCCACCGCACCAACCGTGCAGTCAAATATTGAATGAACTAAATGGTACTGAGTTTGGTTATACTTATATTCCGTACTCTGAATCAATATTTTGACAGCTACCATTGGGGTTGTATAGTGTTGACATTGAATAATTATTGAGATTTTATTCAATTGAAATGGCATTGAATTAATTAGGTAAATTAATTACGATGCGTAATAATGATGACTTTAAATGTGTACACACCGTACGGTTGCACCGTACCTACAGTGTTGTATTTTTTCAGGACGGCCATAAGTTGTATTACATTTTAAGGTTAGCCATTAATTATCTGACACCCTTAATACAGGACACGATTAATATTACGTATGTGCCACTGCCAACACAGTGCCAGTGTGCCACTGTAGACCTTTGGATACTCGTCTCATATATATTGTATAATCATTGATTATATCATTAGTGTAATGTATTGATCAATTAGAGTTACATGATGACCCCGGGTTCGTTATTTATAAATAAATTATTATTACAAGTGGATCGTATTCCCGCAGTATAGTTTGTCAAGCACGTTTGTTTGAACTGAATTACCTTTACCTACCTTAACACTTATTTGGAACACGCTGCAGCAGCACGAATGATTGACCATGTACCAAAGTATAGTGTCATTTGTGTAGGTAGTAGAGACGTCTCTATTCTCGCAGCGCGTCCTACACCTGAACACTTCGGTTTATTTTGCAGTTCTGCTGCGGCTCCATGTTACCACCTGCAGCTCACGACGCATGTTGTATGTACTTGGAGATATTCTCACGTTGCAGTCGTTACAAACATAATTATTACTTTTATTTATTGTTTCACCAACAATTGTACACACTAGTTCTACTTTCAGGTGACATGCAACAGATACATACTTTAGTGTTACCACATGCACGAGGAGGTTGTACAAGAAAAACAAGAGTTAACAATTAATTCGCAACGTGATCTATTACTAAAGTAAACTAATGTTTACGGTACTTGGAGGGTCATCGGCTCTAAAGGTTTAGTCAGCTGCACAACCGTCAGTGTAAGCAAATAAATAGTGTAATGAAGCGCGGTTGGTTTCAGTGGTCGCCGTGGCCGGCTCGGAGGCGCTCCAGTCCGCGGGCGGCGCGGGTGTAGTGACCTCAAGTGAACGGCGCGCGCTGTGCGCGGCCGCGGTGAGTCGCGTGATATCAGCGCGGGCGACGTTATCAGTGCGCGATTAGATACCGCCGCGAGCGCACCGCCGCACCTGAGCGCGCCACCGCCATGAGGACCAGGGACCGGCTCGCCGAGCTGCAGCATGTGAGTGAGGCCACGGGCCGGGACAGGCGGGTGAGGCCGGGAGCTCGCAGGTGAGGCCGGCGCGACTGACGAGCGTGTGCTTGCAGCTGGCGAGCGGCGCGGCCGGCGGCGTGTACTGCGACACCGTGCAGCCCAGCGAGCCCGACGCCGCCGCCAAGCACGACGCGCACATCCAGGACATCTTCCGCGAGGTACGGGCTGCGAGCCGCTCCGCCTGCGGCCTGGCGCAGGCGCACTGTCACGCGCCGCTTCATTACGGGAGGCGTGCGATGTTAACGATCCGCTCGTTGTGTTCATTAGCAACCCAACTAATTACTTAGTGCCAGCCTTGTCGCAGTGCAGCGCACGCGCACTTCGCTTCTCTTACATCCCGTCACAGAATCATTACGATCATGGCACAAAAAGTTTCCATGAGTTGCGCTCTGCTGACGTCACGTATATATTATTACTCGTTAGCGCTCACGAACATATTCTTACGTGTTATTACTTATTTATAATCCCACATCAAAAAGTATCTGTCATCTAAGTAGCTATGTACGACAAGGCGCGCGCATCACACGTAGGTCAGCGCGCGAGGCGCGGCGAGTTGTTTGTTTACACACGCGTCGCACTATCGCGGTCCGCAGCCTTGACCCGGCGCCCGCACTGCACTAGTGCTCATTTCGTGCGTGGTGCTGCAGGTGGAGCGCATGCGCGGCTGGATCCACGACCTCGACAACAACTCACAGCTGATCCGGCGCCTGCACTCCGACCCCACCTTCCATACCAACAAGAGTGAGTAGCCAGCCAGCCAGCCCCCGCCGCGTCGCAGCGCTCAGCATGCGCTGCTTCCGCTCCAACCTAACGTGGTGTGCGCGCAGACTTGCAGGACCAGCTGGATGCGGCGGTAACAGCGTCCAACGCGACCGGGCTGAAGGTGAGCGGGGCACTGCGCCAGTTCGAGGGCCGACTGAGTACGCGCAACGACGCGGCGGCGCGCATAGCACGGCTCCAGTACGCGGCCTGCCGGCGCCTGTACGCGGACGCGCTGCAGCGCCACCACGCTGCGCTGGACGCCGTACGCGCGCAGCAGCTGCTTTTGCTGCAGCACCAGATCCAGCTCAGTGAGTGGCCAGTCCGCGCGTCATTTACTGTTTCCTTTGATTCAATGACGGCAGGAGCGAGCGAGTAGTACGCGCATTAACTAATTGAGTTCAAGCGGATGTAGGATGACCACACCGCGCCGTGTTCCGTCGCCTGCTACTCGCATGTGTTACTTCCAAATAAAATAATGTAAATCTAATGTTTGCATAATTTGGGAGTTGTTCTATACCATTCTGTTGGGAACTAAGAACCTGGCTGTATGCAGGTATAGATAGTAGGTAGGTACAGACATGGTACGGACGGACGGACAAAAACTACTAAAGGCGAACTGAAGGTCGGGTTAATGACTTGAATAAGAAGTTTGTAGTAGTTACCTGTTACTGCTGTGCTGTCTGGGTAGCTGTACATGATAATAACTACGTATGCGCTAAATTATGTTTGCGACATCCCCGGCTTATAAAAATGTCTTGTTTTATTCCATTCCCGTGGGGACTCGATGATCCATTGTGCATAATTACAATATTTAACTTATTTTTTGACATCCTCCTTGTAACGTAGAAAAATCGAGATATCATTTAAAACGCAGGCGCATGTACACGTAGCCTTACATTAGCGGTGTGTATGGTTAGGAAGCGCTTCCTAATTGTAGATGAAATAACGCTTAGTGAACAAGTTCAACGGCTCGAGTTAATTAGAGTGAGTGAGGAGAGCGCGCGGCGTGTTGCAGCCCAGCTGTCGGTGTCGGAGGAGGAGTGCGAGGCGCTGCTGGAGTCCAACAACATCGCGCTGTTCGTGGACAACTTGCGCGCCGAGACCGCGGAGGCGAAGCGCGCACTGCGCGACGTGGAGGCGCGCCACGAGGAGCTCGCGCGCCTCGAGGCCGCGCTGGTCGACGTGCGCGACCTCTTCACGCAGCTCGCGCACCTCGTCGCGCAACAGGTACATACATACATACATACGTACTCGGCTCATACACCATGCTACTGCCTCCTGTGTTATTATACTCATTTGTTGTAATTGTACACCTGGACAATGGACGTAATATATATAGTATTTGTTTGTTACTTCTTCATGCAAAAACTACTGCCCTAGAGTAGTGCGGTAGTGCCCTATATTATTACTATGTAAATGGAATATCTCAGTACGGACCGCCTCGTTGGCCGAGTGGCCGCAAGTGCGACTGCCGGGCAAAGGGTCGCAGGTTCGATTCCCCGGTCGAGCAAAGTATTTCTGGGTTTTTAAAAAAACTCTCAGTAGTTGCACGGAGTCTGGAAATGTGCACAGTATATGGCAATAAGCTCACCCCATTAAGTGCCGTAATGTGCGGAAGAAACGGCATGTTATAAGACTTCACCGCCTACAGTCCACTCGCCTCCACTTTCGCACTTGCACCAAACGCAGCGCTTTATGCAGCGCGTGCAGAGCTTTCCTCTATTAGTTCTCTTACATCAACACCCTATAAATGCCCACTGCTGAGCGAAGCCTTTTCTCACACGGAAAACATTTGAGTTTGAGCATTAATCACCACGCTTGCTCAACGTGGGTTGGCATTTACAAACTATAAGCTCCGGTTTCCTCACAATGTTTTCCTTCACCGTTTGTCAGTGGTGTCTAGATAACTTTAGAAAGTACGTATAACTCGGAAAAAGACACATTGGTACTTGCCGTTTGTAGGTTTCGAATCCGCGCCCTCGTCTTCATGCATGAGAAGCTGGTGTCTTGAACCTCCGGGCCACCGCGACATTGTCTTAAGTACGTCTTATATTTAAATTAAATTAGCTTCGCTGAATGATTTTGGAAAGTTGCAGCAGTAAAAATATGAAAAAGGCCATTCTTCTACCAGACACGCTATTTGATGAAAATGAAACGGAAAATGGCGGCTAAAAACAGTTTTTTTATAATATCTCTTTTCCTGTGCATTGTACGTGAAAACCATTAACTATAAAATTTAACTACTCACAATTTTCTATGATTTATAGCGTTTTTGTAATATAAAGTAGTTTGAGCGCCAGAGCACCGCGAAGTATGTACATTTAGAACAGCATTTAGGGAAAAAGAATAATTTCCACACGACGCGAAAGTAGAGAAAGCGGCGCGTTTACATTATAATGTAGTCTTGTATAGGAGTAATGAGTCGTGCTTATGTGATTACAGTGCATACTTTACGAACTTGCCACAATCTCACACCCTTAGCTGCTTCTGATGAACCGCACATAGATTTCATCTTGGGCATTCATCGATATGTCACAGTCATTATTTTTGAACGAAAATGCTCGTAATTAATCTGCAGAAGTGCATCGCAAATGCGACGTCTCTATCGATATATATATATATATAGAATTTTATGGTCCATTAAAATGAGAGTGGATGAAATCTTTTGGTGCAGCTTCAGCATAGCTAGAAGTGGTTTCTCAGTTTGATGTTTGCTATGTTGCAGCAAGACCAGGTGGACAGCGTGGAGTACTACGCACTTCAGGCCACTGAGCACGTCGGCAGCGGCGGCACGCAGCTACTCAAGGGCACCGTCAGCCGTACCAAGGCGCGCAAGGTAAGCGCCGGCACCGGCTGCAACATGACCAACTTGGTCTCAGGGTGCAACATAACCGTGGTCTCGCTGTTACAGAAGAAGCTGGGCCTCATCGTGTGCCTGGCGGCCGGCTTCGCGATTGTGTTGCTCGTGCTCGTCCTCACGTGACAAATGCTCGCCACGGCTCGCCGCTACGCACTACTACCAATCACTAGTCATTGTTTACTATCAAGTTCCACGATAATATTTATGTTGTAATCTTAATTTTAATTACATTATAAGAAATAAAAGTTTCATAATTGTACCTTACTCTTTTATCTAAACATAATTATAATAAAACAGTCAAAGTCTATCTATACACCTGTATAATAATAACTATGGTAGTCCTAGGTTAGACGGAGCAGCTTCATGCATATTATTATCCACCATAAAGTAAAAACCACATTTGTGTTTGAATAATATGATACTGAACCCATAAGGAACGACAACACTATTGTTTATTTTAATAAATCTTCACAGTTTGTACCTACCTGATAAACAGTAAATCAAGCAATCAAGTCTTGAGATCGGCGACAAATGAAATCATAAAGGATATTAAGTCACGAATGTTTAGGGTCACTAACTACTGTTAGTGTACCGTTAGTAGTACACTAAGGTAGTATTGTACGCAAGATAATCCAGAATTATTTAGCAAAACTTCCTAATTATGTTCGAAGTTAAATAAATAAATCTTAAGAACATAATCTGTCGAGCGGTCGAGCGCGAAGCAAACACTGAGGTACCATCCTTTACTGGAACCATTTTGACGCATTTTTAGAACCCTATTTGAGAATTTCAGGATAAGACCAGAATGCAGAAGTTTTTATCATCCAGTATAGTATATAGTCACGTAATAATTATCCAAAATTTCAAGTCTGTAAATCATTTAATTTTAGTTCCAAAGTTATGCGAAAGCAAATTTTCGCATTTATGACACTCACTCATGATCATCAAAAATAAAAACTGCGTTTAAAAAACCGACTTCAAAAAACCAAAAACTAATAACAAACAAAGAAAGGTAAGAAGTCGGTGCCATAAGTTCCATACAAAATTATTCATTAAAACCTTAATAGGTACCTAATTCACAATTTTGTGGACAGATATATCATTATGATATGAGCTTATGGCACCGACTTCTAACCTATCAGTGGGTGGGTAACCTATCAGTACTAATAATAGTTATTTTTTGCTTTTTAGTTTAGACTTTTTGTTTGTTATTAGTTTTTGGTTTTTTGAAGTCGGTTTTTTAAACGCAGTTTTTATTTTATTATTTTATCATTTTCAGTGTAAAGCTACATATACCCGTTTTGTTACTTATAATCTACATAGGTGCAAAGTTCTAATCAATACAAATTATACAAGCCTAAACACAAGGTAGTTACAGTATACCGTTGAGGAGTTCCCTTAACAATTACACTTCTTCATCATCAGACCCTTAATGACAGCCCTACTCTATCTAGGTGTAAAGTCCTCATCAATACAAATTAATCAAGCCCAAACACAAGGTAGTTACTGTATACCGTTGAGGAGTTCCCTCGACTGTCTATCGGCTCCATCATCAGGTCGACTCCAGACCCTTATCAAATTGTAGTGTTTAAAAATCCTAATTGAAAAACATAATAGACGCATCACTCGCCCATATAATTTTCGAAAGTTCCCCTCGGTTTCCCTAGGATCCCATCATCAGATCCTGACCTCATGGAAATGGGACCAACTTGGGAGTATACCCTTTCCAACAAAACAAAAATTTTGCAAATCGCTTCACGCATCTCAGAGTTATGCGCGTACATACATACAAAAAAAAAAAAAGCAACATACCGGCCGAACGTATAACCTCCTCCTTTTTTGAAGTCGGTTAAAAATAGTACTTCCCACAAACTCAGAGAGCTGAAATTTGGTACAGAGTTAGGGTTCAATAGCCACATAAAGGAAAAACTATATGTCGAAGATCTTGATGGAAGCGTCAAGCGTGCTTGGGTAAAATCAGAGAGGTGTGACACATGTGGCTGTATGCAGCTGTAGCGTAATAGAGTTTGTGGTTTGATATTTTAGAAAATGGCAACACTGGTTTGACAATTTAGTATTTTTTTAACTTGGCAAGATGAAGGGAATGAAGTTAACTTTTTGAAGAAGTTTGGCAGTTAGTTAGTAGAGAACGAACTGACGAGTCACACCTCTTTGGGATTACCGCGCATTTCCATCCGTGCAAAACTTGTTGATCGCTTTATATTTCAAATAACTATTATTGTAATCGATTAAAGGATAATTGTCTCAACTCAACTGGACATTTATTTTGAACCGAACCATCATGAGTGACGACGATTCTGAAGGCGCTCCGGAAAACCCTCCGTCATCAGAATTGGGATCAAAACCACCAAATACCCACAACAGTGAAGATGAAAAATGGAAGCTGCTTCTCGAACAGCAAAACCGTAACTTTATGGCGTTGCTGCAAACCATGAAGATGTCGGGTAGTGAGCAGCGAATTCGTCTCCCCGTGTTCGACCCTGACAAGCACAACGTAGACGCACGAGCTTGGATCAACACCGCCGACAGTGTATGGCTGAAAAACCTCTACAGGGCGCAGCACTCATGATTGCTCTTAGCAACGCTATGCGGGGACAGTCCGCCGCCTGGTTGGCTCAAATATCATTTCCCGGAATGACATGGGGTGAGTTTAAAGAACAATTTGTATCCATGTACGATTGCCCTGAGACACCAGCTGCATATTTGATAAATCTGAGTGGCAGTACTCCAAGAGTTGGTGAATGTCTCGCTGCTTATTCAGCCCGTATTTTAACATCTTGATGGCACGATGGAAGAATCTAACAACGGAACAAATTGCTGTATCTACCGTCTTGGCACATGTTGCACCCATTGAACCTCGCGTACAGCGTTTGGCTTTCACCACCAATATTCCGACACGGGCAGACATGCAGCGTGAACTCAAGGCCATATCTTTCTCAAGAAAACGTGTAGCGACATCTACTAATCAAGACAGTTCAGGACCTGAAGCCAAACGGCCCAAGACTGGTCAGCAACTATCCAAATGTTATACATGCGGAAAACCTGGGCATAAGTCGGCCACATGCCGCTCTAAATTGAACCAGCAGTTTAATAAGCCTGGCATGAAGAAGGATTTCCATTCCAATAACAATGCTTCGACTAGTGGATCGTCCATGAATAGAACCGGCAGTAACAGCGAGAGGCCTGCGAGCAACAACAACATCATCTGCTTCAAGTGTCACGGAGTTGGGCACACAGCACCGCGATGTCCTGGCGTAGCTGGCAAACCGGGAACAAGTGCGAGCACTCCTGCGGCTGAGCGGCGCGTGGATCTCTGCGTCATCGGTGCGCCGCGTGGAGTGTTGGATCACAATGGTGAGCAAATTTCGTTTTACTACGATTCCGGCTCCGAATGTTCCTTGATAAAGGAATCTGCTTGTGGTAGATTTAGTGGCTCGCGCGTAAATAATGTTGTAACTATGACGGGCATCGGACAGACAAGTGTACACAGTACTTTGCAAATATTGACTACTGTTACTATTGACTCTATACCACTTGAGATACTTTTTCACGTACTCCAGACCAATACTTACGTTATGACGTCATGGTAGGTAGAGAGATTTTAGGGCAGGGTATATCGGTTAATATGACTACGGACTCTATTAAACTGACCAAATCATGCAGCGTCTTATCCTGTAACAAAATACAGCCTGCTATTGATTTTAACACGATAGACGCGGATATTCCTCCAGAATTCAAACCGAAACTACTTTCGTTACTAGAAGCGTACAAATCATATTTTGTTGAAGGTACGCCTAATACTCCAGCTAAAGTCGAACCTATGCAAATCAAACTAAAAGACCCAAATAAGACCGTTTGTAGGCGACCTTACCGTTTAAGTGTAGATGAGCGAAAAGTTGTTAGGGCTAAGATAGACGAACTCCGTGCGGCCAACGTGATCCGCCCTAGCTCGTCTCCGTTCGCAAGCCCAATCCTGCTTGTTAAGAAAAAGGACGGCACAAACCGAATGTGCGTGACTACCGTGAACTGAATGATAACACGGTGCCTGATCGGTTTCCACTCCCATTAATAACAGATCAAATTGACAGGTTACATAACTGTCATTACTTCACAATTCTTGATATGGCTAGTGGATATCATCAGGTACCTGTGCACACGGAGTCTATTGAAAAGACAGCTTTCGTAACCCGGAAGGTCAGTACGAGTACCTGACCATGCCATTCGGTCTGCGCAACGCGCCTTCAGTATTTCAACGGGCAGTGATCAATACTTTAGGAGAAACTCGCTAACACGTACGTGACAGTTTACATGGATGACATCCTTGTCTTAGGGGGTCCTGACGTGAATGAAGCATTGGGTAGGCTGAATCGGTATAAAGACCCTGACAGACACTGGGTTTCATTTCAATATTAAGAAGTGCTCCTTTATAAAGCAAAAGGTCGAGTACCTCGGCTATGAAGTGAGTAAGGGCGAAATTCGACCCAACAGCAGGAAAATTGAGGCATTAGTGGCTCTACCTCCCCCAAAAACCGTTACCCAATTGCGTCAATTTATAGGACTTGCCTCGTATTTCAGACAGTTTATCCCAAAGTTTTCCCAAATTATGGCCCTTGTGTGCAATGACAGTTCCAACAAAGGTGACATTACCTGGACCGCGGTAAATGAAGCCATTCGGCAGAACATCATCAAGGCTTTAACGTGCGAGCCAGTACTTACAATATTTGACCCTGATTTGGATATAGAGCTCCACACCGACGCCAGTTCGCTCGGGTACGGTGCTATTCTGATGCAAGTAAGAAACAAGAAGCGTCATGTTATTGGCTACTACAGCAAGCGTACGACGGCCGCAGAGTCAAAATACCATTCTTATGAATTGGAGACACTTGCGGTCGTCAACGCTGTAAAACATTACAGGCATTTATTTGCTTGGCGCAAATTTGTAGTCGTAACGGATTGTAGTTCCTTACAAGCATCGAGAAAGAAACTTGACCTGCGCCGAGAGTGCATCGGTGGTGGGCTTTCCTTCAAGCTTTTGATTTTGAGGTGGTACATAGGGCTGGTACGCAAATGGCACATGTGGATTTCTTTTCACGAAACCATTG